CAGTTTGAACCCACAACCCTTGGTATATGGAGCCGGCACCCTACCCACCGAGCCACAGGCGCCGCCCTGGTCAATTGATTTTAAGTTAAATCAAACAAAACATGGACACATCCAGCCTAGGAATAGACAGAGGGTCTGTGGCCAGTCTATGACCCCTGCCCTAGAGGGACCCACTTTCGGGGTGGTTAAATTTTTTTTGAGACAGAGTCTGACTTTCTTGCCTCCTATGGGGTGTTGTTTCATCATAGGTCACAGCAACCTCAAACTTTTGGGTTCAAAGAATCCTTTTGCTTCAGCCTCCCAAGTAGCTAGGACTATAGGCACTCACAATGCCCAGCTGTTTTTTAGAGACAGGGTCTCACTCTTGCTCAGGCTGGTCTGGAACTTGTGAACTCAAGCAATTCAACTGCCTCAGCCTCCCAAAGTACTGGGATTAGAGGTGTGGGCCACCACACTCTGCCCTAGGGTGGCTAAATTTAAGGAAGTTGAAGGAAGGCATAGATTCTACAAGCACTATGCTCCCTGAGGGGCTACGCAGCCCCCTTTCTCTTAGGAGCTCAGTTTATATTTTGAGAATTCATTTAAATACACAGAATATTTCATGACTTTTTTTTTTTTTGAGACAGAGTTTATGTTGCCCTGGGTAGAGTGCTGTTACATCATAGCTCACAACAACCTCAAACTCTTGCTTGGGCTTAAGCGATTCTCTTACCTCAGTCTCCCAAGTAGCTGGGACTACAGGCACCCAACACAATGCCCAGCTATTTTTTTGTTGCAGTTGTCACTGCTGTGTAGCTGGACTGGGCCGGATTCAAACCTGCCAGCCTTGGTGTATGTGGCTGACGCCGTAGCCACTGTGCTACGGGAGCCGAGCCAGTGACTACTATTTATAACAGTCTTATACTGTGTTTGAGGTCAGACTATAAGACTTGTCTTGTTTTGCAAATTTTACAATGTATGGTTTCACAGCTAAATTCCTCCTGACACCTAGCAGTTGTATCACATTAAGAGGGGCTCCGATGTGATAAATTATAGCCATATAATTTGTATTGTTTTGAAATGAACCTCATTTCTCTCTGCAAAGTCAATTTTGTGACATTCCACTCAATATGAATGCTCAAGTTGAAGCTAAAATTCAAATTTCAATTAGTCCTCTCGCCCCAAAGTGATCTCACACCCTAATAACCACTGTGCAGATATAAGGGTATGTGCATCAGCAAACTGAGGACAGCATGGTACACTGAATATCCAGGACTCAACTCAGCCACTTACTTTCTAGCTCTGACATTAAATATGCCCCAACCCTTCTGGGTATGACTTCCTTCATCTGTAAAAATGGGTGGTGATAATACCTGGTCAATCTCCCTCACAGGGCTGTCACGAGGACAACACGAGTGGAAGTGTATAAAGCACTCCGTGAGCTCCATAGCACTGGACAAATACATTTTATTATCCTCAGCTGTCAGAATGAAATTGGGAGCAATAAGCATTATTTAATGTTTAAACTCCATCTAATAAAGTGGGTTAGTCTAGGATTATAAAAATGCAAATAACAGCAGAACATCCCACTGAGTGCTCCCATGTTCACCCCAAATGGTGTGAGATTTGTTTTTTGCAAAAACTTATACATAAAGATATCACCTTGAATCCAATAGAATGTTAAAAAATTAAAGGGAGAATATAAACAACTCTACTGAAAGTCAATCAATGATTAGAAAGCCAGATTAACCATCAATGTTACTAAAATTAAGAAACAAAAATCAACAGTTGAGCAAACCTACCTTCCAATTTGCCAGTTTTTTAAACTCTATAATTTTTATAACTGCTCCCATGAGAATTCCTAAAAGAGAAAACATAAAGTTGAACATAAGTTTAAGATATGAGAATGTTCACTCAGGTTTATTATTGTATAGCAACTGAATGCTATTCATTATGCCTATAAATGATTTTTATAGAGTTCTGCTCTTTTTACATCTGAAAACATAAGAATGGGAATTAGTGTGAAGTTTATGAGTCACATGAGTTTTCCACACTTGCATTTCAGGCAAACACACCAAAATGAAGTCTATAGAAATCTGAGAGGAAGAAAAGCAAGGTCTTACCTTACAAAGCAAGACCCAAGAATACTATGGTTGGCATGGAAGATTTAATGCCTGGTGTTCTTGCTACATCCATCCATTCTGAGTGTGAGATGGCAGAGAGTTTACACAAGTTTGCCCTGTACTGTTTATTCCTACCATTCCCAAAAAAGAATCCATGATCGCTTTCTCACACTCAAATGGCAGCTCTATGTCAAATATTTAGTTAAAAGATAAAACCAAAATGCTGAAAATAACCCAGAGTAAAAGTTCTGTGAAATTCCTGGAAGAAAACAGACCATCTAAGTTCAAGGATGTTTCTATAAAGTTGACAGGCTCATCATTCTCTCATAAAGCACCTACCAAAAATAATTCCCCCCAAAACAGCACAGGGACAATTTGTGATTGTTCTGCCACATACGAGGTAAACGGCTCTTATTCCTATTGGTTCATCCGAATCACCATGGGAGCTTTTTATAAAATACAGATGCCCAAGCAGAACTCTAGACCTACAAAATCACACTCTCCAGTAGGAGGTGACATAAAGCAAGCTGGCAGACCCCGGCACAGATGTTTCAAGATACAGATCTCCCTTTCCTACTGAGGAAGGAGCTTTCCCCATCAAGAGAAGCCTGAAGAAGTAAGTACACCTTATGGGTAGGACAGGGGACAACACCAGAACATAAAAATTTAATAGGAAAAGGATCTGTTCTGACACTAATTTCTACAGGGGGGCGGGGCGCATACTTTGAAGGGTATAAAGGTAAGTTCATTTTAACTTTATGAGTTGTTTTCTTTTTTGGCAAACACTCAGACATTAAGATATCACCCTGAGGCTTGGTGCCTGTGGCTCAAATGGCTAAGGCGCCAGCCACATACACCCAAAGTGGTGGGTTCAAATCCAGCCCGGGCCTGCCAAACAACAATAATGGCTACAACCAAAAAAAAATAGTCAGGCATTGTGG